TGTCATCTGATGCAAATAAGCACTCAGGGCCCCATGATTGTAAAACTTCTTCCACTGCAAATGTATTTTGTCAAGATAGCAGGAAGAAACAGTGCCCAAGGCTCAAAGAAGAGTTGGGGGAGAAGGAAACTAAAGTAAGTTAATTCATTAAATTGTGCATTTCCCCTTTTTCTGCCCTCTAAATACCTTTTGCTTTGAAGTACCATGGCTTTCTAGTAACTTAGATGGCAAAGACTGAAAGTAGACATAGGAAAATTCATTAAGCGATTGTTTTCCTTATGATTAAGTGTGGAAGTATATCTTTTTGCTGCATTTGGTATAATTACTTATTTATCTTTGTTTCATCTGCCCAGTAGACTAACTATAACAATGGTCCTAGTTCTGTTTCATGGTACCCTTCAAAGTTATGTCTAGCTTTATTTCTTCTTTTACTATTTATCCATTAATTTCTTGCAGATTCCTATAATATATTGTCTCATTTCAATGCTTATTTGATTACCGACATTTTCATGTCAATAGCTTGAATGCAAAAGTCTGAGAAATTGGAATCCCAGCTTGCTTTCAAAGGAAGAAATGGAAACTGAATGGTTAAGAAAGCAGGAAGCAGTCATCAAAAGAGAGAGAATGATGAAATACTCATATTCCCATCGGGTAATTTCTGTTGTAAATGCATTCCTATTATGCTTCATTGTACGGATGGATGTAGGAAAGGGAAAAATGACTTTTGTGAGAATATGTTTTTTACTATATTTTCTCTGTTTAAATTATCAACAAACAAAGCATATAGTTCCTCTTTTCATTGATTTTGTGTATAATTCTTTCCCCAGGAAGGGAGGAATACTTATTTGCTAGAAGAACCACCGCCTGAGAAAGAAACTGGGAGGAGGAGCAGCCGCCTAGAACAATGGACACTTGATGCGGAGTTAATCAAAAGGAAAGGGCTGAGGACTTCAAAACCAATTCTACACTCAGATATGATTGCCGGTGAAATGCACAGTCCAGAACAAATCAAACTGAGAAATTCACAAAAGCAAGATTCACCTGATGGACTGAATTCACCATTTCTGTTTCCAAGGCGATCATTTGGTCATGCACAGCACAATACTTCTGGAGATGATGGTTCTCTCCCAAATTCTTCATCCTTTCCCACTTACATGGCTACAACAAACTCTGCCAAAGCAAAGGCAAGGTCGCTGAGCACGCCAAAGCAACGGGTTGGATTTCTGGATACTTGCTTTGATCACAGTGCACCAAGCAAGAATGAACTTTTCATTTGGTCTTCTTATGATGGTGAGCCACTTATTATCAATGAAAAGAGAAGCATTTCTCAACAGTTATCTGCAGGCATCAATCACCGTTACTCAGTTGATAGATTGTCTGCTTTGCTTGGTGGGATTAGTAAAGCTTGAACTTAACAAGGCTGCTCCATACACTACTTTTTAACAAGACCACAGAAGCAATCTGACGTCAACAATGTCTCCTGAGATTTAGAAAAGATATGGAGTGGTGAGTGGTGACAAGCTCTAGATGGATGAAACTGCAAAATCGCATCTCTACTATAGCTCTTATAAATATTTTGGGTACAGAAGTTAATCATTTTGTTTTTCTTGGTCTTTTAATTTTTAATTTCATGCAGTTCTCTGTTACATTTCCAAATCATTCATCATTCAAAACAGAACTTTTCCCAGGCCTGGTTTTGTGAGAAGGAAGCCTCTCTTATTTCATGGCTTTGAAGTTTGAACCGTCTCTTTAACCAACATGTTTTGTTTGGAAAAATTTTTATTCAACCTCGTCGGCAGAAGTGTCTCAGAGAAAATACTTGATTGTACACCTCATAGTTATTTGATTGAAGTTGATATGATTAGTTAAATTATTGAAGTTGATATGATATTTAGGCTGCTTGTTTGGAGAAAACAGCCCCCAGTGTTTTCTCACTTCCTCTGGCCCCTCTTCATTCTCATCAAACATGGCAAAAATGTATGTCTCAATGGGCCTTCCTGGCTTCTTCGGAGTCCCTCCCTGCACATGCTGAATCAAATTGTTGTTATAAATTCTCGCATTTTCAACTGTCGTATACTTTCCACCCGCAGTAGGCCAGCCGCTTCCTGACACCACAATCTCTAAATTACCCCCGCCGGACTTCTCAAGGGCTACGTAGACGGTATCTAGTAGTGCGTCAAAAAGATTACTGTATTGTAGCGGAGGATCTGGTACCACCGGTGAGGGAGCCGTGAAGAGGCCGTAATCAAGACTCATGTTAGTGTTGTCAGTATAACTAAAGGAAGGGTACAAGTTAAAGAGCAATGGAGCTTGATTTTTCACCAAGAAACTGATTAAGGGATCAAGAATAGGCTTATATTCGGCCTTGAAAGATCCGTTTGACGGAAGATAAGGTGCATCAAGGGGCTCGGTGTTAATAGCCGTGGACACTTTGATTCTAAGCCCGGCTCCTGCAAGTGCATTTTGGATGTTTTGCATGGCGGGGACTAGAAATCGTGCAAAAGAATCCGTGGGCTTAACTTCGTTCCCTACAGCGATGTAGCGGAACTTGACATCTGGGTAGTTCTTGACGTTGTCTTGAACCCAACCATCGGCATTGGCTTGGCTGGCCGCGATGAATTGAAGTTTATCGTTG